TCATATTCCCATATATCATTGTGATGTTGTTTATTCTATTACTCTTGTTCTCTTCTGCTTGTTTTCTTTTTTCTTTCTCAGCAGGTGATCCAGGTGATCGATATATGCATTTTTTTTTCTGCTTATTTAGTTGGTTTTTGTTTTTTTGCCCTTCATCCTCGTCCCTCTTCTCAGCTGTTTTTCCCCCTCTTCCTTTCACACTTTTCTTTTCCTCATTCAAGTCTGTCCCGTATCTAGCAAGTGAAAATAAAAAAATAAAAAAAAATAAACAATAAAAGGTGAATCAAATAGACCATTACGGCAAGGCTGGGATGGTCAATTTGGTAAAGTAAATCCGTTGGGCATCTTTCTTCACCTTTAGACATGTATGAAGAAACATACTGACCTAAATCCTCTCAGAGACTCCAGCAGTTCATCTATTGGACAAACAGCTGAGATAAATCTGTGTAAACTCACCATCATAGCAGAAGAAAGGCTTTCTGTGGTCACATCCAGCAGAGCTCCATCTTCCTGATCTCCCCAACAGAGTCGTAGCACATGTCCTGTTGTTTAGTCCATCATTAAATGAGTCCATGTCCCAGTATCTGAAAGAGAAGTTACTCCCATCTGACCACCTCCAGCTGTCTCTGAACAGGCCGATACACGAGGCTGTAGACTTCTTCAGCTTCTTAAACTCTTCACTGTATATCTGCTCGAGTCCACTGGCCAGGTCGGTGTGATGCTGTCTGTAGTAGCTCTGAGCCTGAGTCCAGGTCACAGACGTCTCAGTCAAATGAAAGGTTTTGTTGTCTTTCATTGTTTCTGTCGAGTCAACAGAGAAACACAAAAACATCTTTATCAGCTAATTTGTCTCATTCTTCAAACTGCCTCTTTCAAGAACATGTAATATAACTCAGATTATAAACTAGATTATAACATTATTAAATATTGTATTATCATATTACTGTCCACATATTCTCACCGTTATAGCAGATGAACTGAAATGTGTGAGTACATGGGAAATCTATCCACGCCATGCTTGTCATTACACAGTTCTCAGGGGTGCCACCATAATCATTTGGCTGTCCAGCTCCCCAACAGGTCTTATTTTCAGTGTATTCCTCCCCCGGCAGAGACCAGTGCCACCTCCTGTTGTCTCCTCCTGGCTCGCTGTACAGTCCAATCCAGGCTTGTGTTTGACTCTGTGCAGAGTCTTGAAGTCTTCTCATGTCTGTCAGGTCAAACACTTTGGCCAGGTCGGTGTAGTTCTCTCTGCAGTATGCCCGTGCTTCATCCCAGCTCATCTCTTCTTTAATAAAGTGGTACTCATACAGCTGACATGTGATGAAGACACACTGACCTGAAACAGAAGAAATACTGTTGAATATCTGCTGATACAAGCAGGAAACTCATGTTCCCATCAAACTGTCCAGTTTACAGGTCAATCCTTGATTTTCTCAGTAAGAGTTCATTTGTTTAATGAGTCCTGATCAAACTAAAGGATTTCAGGTGGAAACAATCAGGAGCCCTGGTAAAATGATCACTCACCCATCAGCAGAAGCAGAAACAGACTCCACTGCATCGTCGCTCTGTCACATGAAAATGACTTTTCTTTCATTTGGAGGAAACAATGAATCCAGCAGCTCTTCAGTGTTTGATGGACACGCAGCACTTTATATTAAACACAGATATCTAGTTTGTCACACACTGCTGTAAGAAATATATGATTGTTCTTAATAAATGATCATCTGTTTAAAATTGTCCATGAAGAAAAAAGCAACAGTTCAAATGTGGTCCACACAGCACCTCTGTACACATGAAATGAGCCTGCAGGTTTGAAACTTACATCTGGTTCTTCTCTGGTGTTCATGCAGACAGCTGTGCAGTAAATAACCATCTGTACTAACACACTCTCTCTTTGTACTCAGTATTTGAATATGAAAATATAGAGTTTTTCCCACTGACTCAAAGACACACTGTTAATATCAGTTACATAGGGACTCATTTACATTAAGCTCTGGGAAGAAGAAACACTGGACTGTCCAACAAGCAGAAAGAGGAAGTTTCTGATATCCAAATATGACAGCAGAGGTGCACCTTAACAGGCCACCGCTCTGTGACAGAAACATGAATATGAGTCTGTTGATTTCTGAGAATATAAACATAACGCTGCCTGTACTGATGAATATCGCTGGATCGCTCTGACGCTGACATGATCTTATAAACCTGTCAAAGACTTTTGTGTGCACTGATGCAGCAGTCACATGTTCAAGCTGAATAATTACACACACCCCACTTTTCAGTTATTTATTTATAACAAATGTTTGGACTCATGTATGATTTCCGTTCCACTTCTCACGTGTGCACCACTTTGTGTTGGTCTTTCATGTGGAAGTCCAATAACATTGATTCATGTTTGTGGCTGTAATGCGACAAAATGTGGGAAAGTTCAAGGGGGTCGAATACTTTTGCAAAACACTGTAGCTCTTTTCATTTTTAGTATTTGCTGGCCAGACTATACACAGACATTTAGAAAGAAACAAAACAGACAGTTTTTTCAGCTTTATACTTAAGTGGAAACTGATATTGAACATGAACAAAATGTAACACAACATCAACTTTAAATATGAAGCATAAAAAATATGTATAAAAAGGTTTTTCAGCCTGGGCCACACTGGAGTTTTTAAATCTCCTGCTCTTTTTTTGTGCGTTGCCACTTCTCCATTCCTGCCTGTCTGCTCCGTGCATCATCATCAATCAATCATCAGTTCTTCTCCGTGATTGGACTGTAATGATGCACAGTAAAGTTTAGTAAAGCTTGTCTTTGAAATGTCTCTCTAGCCCAGTTGGTGAAGGAGCTACGGCATTGCAAAACACTGACGGTAAAACCTAAGCAGAGTTCAGACAGCAGTAGCCTGTGAACGCTTTGTGCTACCGTAATGTCCCGTAAAGAACAGCTTCTCATCTTTTCAAAGCGGATGCGAGTCCTGAAGGATGACATGCTCCAATCCAGAAATCTCTACGGCAGCGGTCTCCAACCTTTTTTGCGCCACGGACCGGTTTATGCCTGACAATGTTTTCACGGCCTTTAAGGTGTCGCAAATAAACACCACAAAAGAAAATTAGCACCGCTAACGAAAAAAGAAGATTTATTCATAACACGCGTTTAAAGACCCACCAAAACAGAGTTAACGACAAAAACAAAATAACACTAAAAACCGATAAAAACCCTGAAAACCATCCATTTTACACCCGAACCTCAACTCTCACAGCCCGGCACCAAACGACTCGGGGTTGGGGGACCGCTGCTCTATAACATATTAAGCACAGATGGTAAACTCAGACCCTGAATACATTTTCTTCTTTTGGCACAGATATTGTTTCAGTTATTCACTGGTGAGCTGACATATTGGCTACACCGTCATCAGTCTGCTAAACACAGGAAGCAGCTGACTTTAAAACATCAGAGAAAACCACCAGGAACAGCCTCAGTTTGTGGGAACCAGGATACGACCTGGAGAAAGAAGAAGAGAGGAGGACACAGTCACCAGCAAACTCTGAAAGCACTTCATGGAAGCTGATTTTAAACTGAGCAATACTGATGATTCAGAAAAGTTTCATGTTTTAGGGATCGGACAAGGACCAAGAGTTCTCTGAAACCAGTAGAAAACCTGCGTTTGAATGCAGCCAAAAGCTAACACTTGTCTGAAAATGTACAGGATTGTTCTAGAAATCTGTGAAACTGGCCTTAACCTGCCCAAAAGGGTACATTTTAAAACATCAATATATTAAAAAAATACTGATGTAAACCAGTTTTAGACCCATCGTATGTGGTTTGACATTTTGTATCTCTGAACGGTTCCAGTCTGGTCTGAACTGGTTTCTGGTCTGAACTGGTTTCTGGTCTGAACTGGTTTCTGGTCTGAACTGGTTTCTGGTCTGAACTGGTCTGTGAGTGAGAGTGGTTCTCTGACCTCGAGCTCTCTGTCTGTAGTAGATGAGCCCAGCCAGAGACAAGATCAGACAGAGGAGCAGTCCTGAGGCGCCGACGGCAAGCTTGTCCCTCTCTGTCTTAGGCATGAATGAGGATGAGGAGGGATCTGAGTCACACAGGTGAGGGTCAGACAGGTGGACAGACAGACAGGTATGTACAGGTGTGTAGATACAAGCAGACAGGTATTTACCCCAGTCAGTGATCAGAGGTCTCTCCAGGCTGGCGTGCTCCACCACACAGGAGATCTTCTCTCCAGACCTTCAACATAAACTTTAGTGACTCTCAGATCTGGACTTTAAATGTTTAAACTTTAGCACTATTATTATCATGATGCTCACCTGGGTGTGTACTCCAGGTAGCAGTGGCTCTGGTAGTACCAATCCCCATCCTCCATCTCCTCAGTGGAAGTGACATCAGAGGTGACTTCCTGTCCGTCTCTGTGCCAGCTCACTTTGATCTTACTGGGAAAGAAGTCATAGACACTGCAGACCAACATGGCAGGATGGTGACTGGAGAGAGGCGTGGTGGAGTGAAGTTTGACAGTGGGCGGAGCTGCAAGACATTATTAGTTTGTATTATCATTAATGTTCTCTGTATAATTTGAATGCATTTATTTAAAAGGCACAGTGCATATTAATAGTGCGGGTGGAGCGCTGCCGACTTCGACTGAGGACATTGTCAGGCAGTGGAAGGAATACTTCGAGGACCTCCATAATCCCACTGACACGTCTTTCGTGGAGGAAGCAGAGCCTGGCGACGAGGGGGAAGACCCACCAATGTCCAGCGAGTCAAGTCACTGAGGCAGTTAAACTACTCGTTGGTGGCAGAGCCTCTGGGTTCAGCCTGAGTTCCTGAAGACTCTGGATGTTTTAGGGATGTTTTGGTTGTGTTTGGGGTGGTACCTCTGGATTGGTTCCCATCTTTAGGAAGGGGGACTGGAGGATGTCTTACAACTATAGGGGGCTCACACTACTCAGCCTCCCTGGGAAGGTCTATGCCAGGGTGCTGGAAAGGACAGTCCGTCCGTTATACATGGAACACTGGACCAGCTCTTCATCCTCTTAAGGATACCCAAGGGTGCATTGAGGGAGTTTGCCCAACCAGGCAGGAGGTCAGGAGGAGGTTACTTATTTTACAATGTAAGTAACTGTAATTAAAATACCTAAAATGAACAGTAATTAGTTACTCTACTTTTTCAGTGGAAAAGTAATTTAATTACAGTAACGCATTACACCCAACACTGCCCACGACACACTGGAGAGATTATGTCTCTCGGAAATCTGCTGTGGTGACAGCACAGAATGAAAGCTGCTGCTGCTTGTTGTAGTCAAAGTTATATATATTTGATAGATACGTTTATTTGATTTACAATATGTTTCGATTTAAATTTTTAACAAAATTAAAGTCAAAACTCTGAGCTTCTGATTAATGTAAGTTTTACATTATCATTCTAGGTGGTGGTTGCTAGGCGACAGGACCTGAACTGGAAGAGCTGATGGTGTAAATCTGTGGGCTGCAAACAACGGTGGAGGAGCTTGTGATCGAGGCCCCGATGGAAGGCACTTTGATCAGACCGTACCATCCGGGGCCTGCAGGGGGCGCTTTGCCTGTTTATTTTATCATATTTGTAACCAGTCACACAGATAAGAGCTGCGGCCTGATGGAGGAAACTTCTCACACGTTTCTTTCTCTGAGGTTGCACCGTCTCACTCTGGAGAGGAAGTTACTGCTGTAAACAGCCTGCTCGTGTGGTTCAACATTCATGCTGTGTTTAGGTGCACTCGTAGATCGAACCATCTATAACCCAACAGCAGAACACACAGGATGACTTGGCACTATCAGACAGCTTCCCCTGCACTCTCTGTTTCTGATGTTACACAGTCACAGCTTGTGTGTGTTTACGTTTCACTGATCAGTCAGGTCAGCACAGCAGCTGTTTCAGCACTTTAGCTCACTTTACTGCAGAGATGCTGGAGAGAGTGAAACACACACAGATTAAATAACAGCAGTCACATTTATATGTGTGTTCTGATGATAACTTTATAAGTGTTGCCTCATATTGAATAACTCCACTGTTACACTGAGTCATAGATCTGAGCTGTAAATGTTTGCAGGTGTGAAGCTGCTAAACAAGCTGTGAAGGTCACAGCCAATAAATGAACTGCAGACATCAGTGCTTCATATTTGTCATATTTAAAATAAATGAACTAGAAGAAAAGAAGGAAATAATTAACCTGTCAGGCTGCTCCGTGCTGTTAAAATATGTATATGGAAATATTAAAAAACAATTGTGGATGATTTTTCAGCTCAAAGAGTTTAAAAAAATAGTATAATGAGTGTGTTATGAGGAACAGCTGCAGTTTGCCTGTGTCACCAGCAGGGGGCGCCGCAGGTCAGAGTCGTTCTCTGGCGTCTTATGTTCGGTGATCGATGATTTATTAAAAGTATAAATCATCAAAATTAGCTGCAGCTGTGAGTCCATCATAAATGATTCAGAGTGAGGTCAGCAGGAACACCTGATGATGTCACACAGACCACGCACGCTCACCTGATTTAGACATAAGGTTGTGGTATCTGACATCAATGTTTGGTTTGCAGTACGTCCCCTTCTGAGCCCTCATGGTAGCCAGCCTCGCAGGAATATTGTTCCAGGCCTCTGCGGTCTTCACTCCAAAGTCAGTGAATCCAACAAACGTCCCCACATTGCTGTCAAACCTGATGATCTCTATCATGTTGTAATAGTAAGAGTCGGTGAACCGGATGTCCTTCAGCTCAGTGGAGTTAAAGTCACAGCGAGACAGTCTGTAAGTCATGAATCCATCTGAGAACAAACAGAACATCAGACCGAGGGCGAATCATGTCACCGATCAGTGTATTAGTGATCACTGGTCAGCGTGTTGATGGTACCTGCTGTGCTGAGGCTGATGAAGAGGAGGCAGAGGAAGGATGAAGCCATGTTTCTAAGTTCTCCAGACAAACTGACTCAGTCTGACGGAGAGCTGCTCGAGAAACAGGAAGTCAGGTCACATGACCACAGCGTCATCTGTTACTGTGGGATCAGCTCATAGTTCACACCCACGTGTGTTTCTGTCCATTAAAGCTCTGAAAGCGGAGCAAACTGAAAACCTGCTTTCATTTACGTTTCAGTCGCAGTCTGCAGTCATGGAGACATATTCATGTATAATAGTTATCTGCACCCAACACTGATGTCAGACCTGCTGTAACAATGAACCTGTAACAGTGATCAGAGTTACAGGCAGCTCTGTGGGTGTGTGGGACTCGTGTGTGGCTGATGTTCCTGCGTGGACGCCACAGTGTGATGTCATCATGGCGAGCTCTTCAGAGCAGCTGGATCACATTTCTCTGTTACATTAACATTACCTCCAATCTGCATTTAAATATTCAAGCAGAGAAATTCAGATTCACATTTATAAACCAGTCAGACTGCAGCAGATGAACCTCAGCTCGTATTAATGTTGCGTCATGGAAGAGTATTTGCATCACAATATGAAGCTGCTTCAGCTGACTGTTGTTGTGATTTTGTGCTGTAGAAATTAAACTGAATTAAATCAGAATGAGATTTTATCCATATTCAGAGTAAATTTAAATGCCAGATATTAAAACATCTGGAATATAAACATGTTAGATTCATTTCTATAAACACTCATTGATTTTTCTTTCACCTGCTTTCATCAGCAGAGTCTTCATCAGGATTTAGTTTGACATCGTTGTGTTTGCAAAGACAAATTCAGACATCATTAATGTTCATTCTGTTAGAGCTCAAAGTCTGACTCCACACACACACACACACACACACACACACACACACACACACACACACACACACACACACACACAGAATCTGTCATTAAACTTTATTGATATATGAAAATCTGAAACACGGTTTGGTAAACAAAGACACATTATAGCAGTTTATGAACACTGAGGTCACATCAAACTGATCTCAGTCTCATCACTTTTGTGGCAGGAACAGAGTCCAGGTAAAATCTGCTGGTGGTGCGAGAGCAGCTGAAAATAGCTTTGCTTTGAATTCCAGAGTTAAACTTTATTGACACCAGCGGCTGACGGCACAGCTCATACAGATGTTCCATTATTAAGCACGTCAGCTGAGGCAGGTAAACCAGAACAAAGGATCTGATGCTCATTACAGGCGAACTCTGCACACTCGCCTACAGCACACTCACACTGATTAGGAGCTCGTCATAGAATGACATCGTCACCGTGAGCCAATCAGCTGCACTCGTTTCCTTTGATGAGGAGGAAGGTTCCAACAGCCACACCGACCAGACCGAGAGTCAGACCCACTCCACAGAACACAGAGGGTCCAACACCTGGATCAGAGCGAGCAGACGCCTCCACCTCTGGAGACACAGACACACAGAGAGAAACATGAAGCTCCACATCTGGAGAAACAAACACACACAGAGAAACACGAAGCTCCACATCTGGAGGCAAACAGGACACAGGATGACATGTATGTCTATGTAACTATATACACTCTACATCTACCTGCACTGAGCATGTGCACTGTAACTTTCACGCAGCCTCTTGAACATGTTTTTAATCACCTGGGTCATTAAGTGACACCAAGAAAAGCCAAATCTGGAAGCATTTTAATGTTGTTGACAACACAAAGCCAGAGGATATCACATGGAGCCGCTCCACAACCTGCACAGGCTCCTGACAGTTGCCCACCCATCAGTGCAATGGGAAGATGAAACACAGTCAGTTGAGTGTGATATTAATGAAGGTGCCAGTGTGTCTGCAACTGTTGCTGCTGCTGCATCTACAGCAGCATGCACCACCACATCCACCTGAACCAGCCCAGAGCCCAAAGCAAACAAAAATGTAAATAGTTTAAATTTGAATTGTAAACAGACAATAAACAACTATTTTTTACATTTTATGTGGAGTGAAGAAATAAAAGCACATTTACATAACAAACATATATAAAGAAAAAACACAATTTTTACATTAGTCGTTCATTTTAAGCATAATTTTATATGGGTGTTAATAATAAATTAGTTAAAGCAACAAAACAACCTGAAGAGCCCCAAGAATGAGGTAACTATGAAAAACTATGGTGATTATGAGCACTGTGACATGACATGGAGGGGAAATACACAGACGACCTGACAAAGAGTGAATGAAACACACACTAAATACACACAGGAGGTGATCAGGGCAATGGAAACAACACATCTCCAAATATAATATAAGAAATTAAAATACACTCAAACAGCTGGATCAAAGCTCTTCCCAAACAAGTAGGAATGAAGGCAAAGTAGCTACACTTGAGCATTTTAGAGGAAAAGAACCATTTAAATTCAAAGAACAGAAATATCTGTCTGGGAAAAGAAAAACAGGAATAACAGCTGTGTGATGCAGAACTGATCAAGTTATTTGAATCACTACAATAGCTGATTAACATCCACATATGTGGACATCACATCTTAGGTTGTCTGGACCATTATAGACATTAAACTGTCACTGCTCGATCAGCCTTTAAAACAAATGTCCTCATATGTGGATCTCATTTTTCTCAGAAACAGAAATCAGGTTTAAAAAAGAAATCAGGTGATTCTTTGTTTCTACACTCATCAGGTCCCAATCAGCCCAAACAGCAAAGAGAGATTAGACATGCCATGAAAGAGAGAGAGAGGGAGGGTCTTAGGAGGGACAGAAAGAGCACAGTTGTGTTGTGTGGGAGACGATCATAAAGAGATCAGTGGTATCTGAAACACTTGCCTTGATGCTGGTCAGACTGCGTGCAATCCTTCTTCTATAGCTAAAATAGAAACAACATTTCAAAGAGCATCAGAGGAGCATGAAACACTGACAGAGTGTCAGGCTTGAACCAGGAATTAAGTTTTTGAGAGTCCCACAACATCAGAGGGATTTTTACTGCCCAACAAAAGAAGCAAATTGCACTTTATATGTTTAAGGAATGAACTGAGAATGAGAAAGTAAGAGATGCAGGAAGTCACACACACACTGGAGAGTGTGATTAGACAGTTTGTGGAAGAGGAAACATGTAAGCAAGAGGAAAAGGAAGTTAAAGAAAGAGAGAGTAAGAAGAGGTCGAGCTCACAGGAAGAGAAAACAGTTACTTAACTGATGTTTGCACACACTGGCAATAACGACTCTCCTGACATGAAGGAAAACATAACTGCTCACAGATGAAGGAGCTCACCAACTGAAGGGTACAACACAGATCAGCAGGCCAGAGCCTGTGGAGGAGCAACACCGGCAGTACGCAGGCCGGGGTCAGCGATGGGGCCTGCACAAAGGTGGAGTGGAGGAGTCAGGCGGAGGACGACGACTAAGGGTCGGCAGGCGTAGGAGGGGAACAACTATCACCTAACTATCCATCATATCTGCAGTGGTCCACATGAAGCAGCTGCATCACTGACCCTCCCAACAAACTCCCAAGATTAAAGCCCAGAGCTCCAGCCCTCGTCTTACTGCATTTCATTACTCTGTATTTATATGTTTATGACAACAATGACAATAAAGTTCACTCATAATCCTAAAAGAACAAATAACAGGAATTAGGCCACATGTGAGCATTAACAGGAGATCATAAAGACATATTCATTATTAACACTCTTACATTAGAATATTATTGAAGGTTTAGTAAACGTTTAATAGATAAAGGGTGCAGACACGACTCTTAGTGACACTAACAAAATACACACACTGGGTCAGAACCCCAGTTACACATGGGACAGACTGGTTTATATGGCTATACTAACTTTATTTAAAGAAGCTAAGACATGGCCCCAATGAGCATCACATTATTGAAGGGATGAGACCTGCACTGAGGGATTTACATAAACGTTACATCATGTAGGGATTATGTGTTGTGGTGCCGGCGTGATGGTAAAAAGAGTTTGAGATGGTAACAAGGAGAACATCTGATGTGCTGGGTGGCTGTGGTCCTTGATGATGCTGTGTGCTTTGAGACACTGCTGGGGATAAACATCCTGAGTGGCAGGAAGCCTCGTGCCAGTGATACTCTGTGGCTTCCTGCTGCTGCAGAGCAGCTTCTGTTCCAAACTGTGATGCAGCTCGTCAGCAAGCTCTCGGTCTTAGATTGTAGAAAGTTGGAGGGATGTTGGCGTTCATGCCAGACTTTGCAGATATGTAACATGGAGGGAGGAGCAGAGGTGACCTTTGACCAGCCACTCAAGGCACTTGATAATGACGGATGTCAGTGCAACAGGGCGGTAGCATTTCAGACAGGAGACCTCTGATTTCTTAGGAACGGGGATGATGGTGGTTGTTTTGAGGGATGTGGGGACCCCTGACTGCCTCAGGGAGTGGTTGAAGATGTTGGTGAACACCCTGCCAGCTGGTCGGCGCACGCTCTGAGAACCCGGCCTGAGATGCCGTCCGGTCCCGGAGCTTTGTGAAGATTGACCTTTTTGAAAGACCATCTCACAGCTTCTGTTTTCAGAGTTAAAGTTACAGCCTCACTGTCCTCCTGAGGACAGAGCAGCGGCTCCTCGTTGTCTGCAACAAAACGAGCGTAGAAGTTGTTGAGCTCGTCTGCGAGAGACGCTGTGGGCTGGACAGTGCCGTGTTTTCCTTCTCGTAGTCAGTGATGCAGCGTAGTCCATTCATCAGGCACCTGGCGTCAAAGCTGTGGTAGCTGGACTCCACTTTGTCCCTGTAGTCCTTTGTGGCCCCTTTTCAGAGGTCGTACCTGGCTGCTTCATATGCATCAGAACGCCCTGAGTTAAAGGCAGAGGTCCACACTTTGAGCTTAGCAGGAATGTCCTCATCTACCAGGGTTTCTGCTTTGGATATTTGCAGACGGTGGTTTTAGTGATGATATCGTCCATGCATTTTCCAATATATCCAATGACAGAGTTCATTGATGTTGCCATCAGCTGCATCCTCAAACATCTGTGGGACCTCCTCACTCTCACTGTCTCATTTAAAGTGTTGCTGACTCAGAGCTCCTGTCTGTGCTGATATTACGGTGCAAACCAGAAGGTTTTAAGTTACATGTATTATTTCAAATTAAGGGAAATGGGGTTGTTAAGTCTAATTGTTGAATGTTGTCATTGTGCTTCTTACGTTTGTAAGGTCTTAGTTCAATCTACAGGGTAAACTGTCTGCCTCAGAGTCAACCACCCAAATATGTAACAAGGGCCAATTAGGGAACTTTGTATGATTGTAAACTGAAATTCATGCATGTCTGTGCAAATGTGTATGATTAGTCTATTACAGCTGCTTTAGCTTTTCAATGGCTCCTTTACCGTAAGAACAAAGGCTGTCATGCTAATAACGTATGCTTTATTGATCTCCGTGGGGAAATTACTCTCTCTGCATGTAACTCAGTGTAACAGTGGGCAGCCGAAAAATCAGGCGCCCGGGGAGCAGTGTGCAGGGACCCTCAGGAGTACCTCAGGGTAGCCGTTCAGTGGGGGCGTCCACACTACCTACTGAGCTATCCCTGCCCCCGACCGGATGACAGAGATATACTGTGTCATCTAGTCCCTGTCAGTATTCATGCTCAAAGGCTTTTCAGGGAGTTTTTAGGACATCCTGATAATAAAGAATGACAGTCGTCCAGCCTGGAAGTAACAAATGCATGAACTCATGTTTCAGTCAGTGTGAGACAGGATATTTCTAATTTTAGAGATACAAGCATGGGTGCAAAAATGGGAGGAAGCAGTTTTCAATATGTGCATTGAAGGACAGATCCTGGTTAAAGATCCAGACTAAGTATCTGGTTAGATACCATATATGTGTAAGGTTTTTTAGGACAGTAAACTCAGTCTTATCTAAATGTAGGAGCAAAATGTTCGAGGTCATCCAGGTCTTTGGTTTCTGGAGGCATTCCTGCAGGTTGACTGGTGTGTGTTGGATACATGGAAGAGGGTGTCATCTGCATGACGGAGGTATGTTGTGCCTATTGTGGTGTTACCTAAAGGAGGCATGTGTAATGTAAACAGAACTGGTCCTAGCACTGAGCCCTGTGGAACTCCAGAAATAACCCTGAAGCTATCAAAGGACATTTCACAGCCCACACTCTCACACTGAGACCTTTGTTCAGAAAAAGTGTCTAGTATGTTTCATGCCTTATTTTCATTTTCCTATAATTAGGCTCGTTTTAAGTTTCTTGAGAATTATTTCAGGGATGTTGTGTCGTCTGCTTTGCACATGAACAGGAATTCATTTGTCTTAAATTGGTTGACCAGGGGAATGTTGGGAAAGTATACCTATATAACTATATGCACTATATATCTATGTGCAGTGAACATATATACTGTAACTTTCAAGTAGTTTTGCCCTCACCGTGGGTTATTAAGGTGGTAACATTGTAACAGATACTGAACACATCACAGTAAAGTCACCTTAACGATCATTACAATACTATATAACCTGTATAATTAGGTCAACTATTATTAACATGTTTATCATAAGATTATGCCGCTTGCTGTCAGAGCACCTGTTGATGCATTCTGCTTGTTGCGAGATTTAACAACCAGGATTAATGTGTGGCGTTTGACTGTGTCGTGACCTATTGTGATAAGGCAAAGCAAAGAGTTCATCAAAGGGCACCCAGCTGCAGATAACCCTGATCCAGAGCCCTGACCAGCCCCTGACCAGCCCCTGACCCAGCACCAGCTGTTTTTGGCTGGAGGACGAGTGGAAAGTTACCCTGCAGCAGCAGCAGGAGGTGGAGTTACTGGCCCCGATAAAGGGAAGCCACAGAGACGTCTGCTCTGTCTGTCTCTGTGTTGCTCTGCTGTCTGTACTTAAGGCTCTACAGCCCACAGTTTGCTTTGCTCTGTGTCGTCTTGCTGTTCTCTGTATGTTCTTACTTACTGTTCATATGATTCAGTGTGTTAAACTCTGTTCCCATCGTTGGTGGGATACGATGATCATATTGGCTCCAAAATGTGTGACAAAAATCATGGTGTCAAACTATCAGATCAGATCCAGCTGCTCTGATGAACACTGGCCTCAGTCTTTTGTTTAAATAAAGTTTTCTTACTATAGATCTTGGTCAGTGGTTCAGTCAGGGCCAGATGTTGCACTGTGCAGCTGTAGATGTCTCCCAGCTGTGCGGTGAACTGCAGTCTGGAGATCTGGGTGAAGGGTCCATCTTTGTTGGGATAGGGAACGTTGGTGCTGGATCCTTCTGTGACCTTCTGTCCGTTCTTGGTCCAGGAGACGTTGACAGGAGCAGGATAGAAACCAGTCACATGACAGATCAGAGTGTTCTCCTCTCCTAACTCCACCTCATCTCTGGTGTAGATCATCACAGCTGAAGGAGCATCTGTGCACAAACACATCAGGCAGAGGATCAGAGCACAGACAGAACTCTGCTCAGCTCCAGAGAAACGAATGAAGAAAAATAAATGTGGTCTTTAATAGAAACACAAATAGAAACATGTCAGTTTCTAAATGTGTTTACGGTGGAATGATTTCATATCTTTAATCAGTTTGTTTCACTGGCTGTGTTTGATCGGACTGATCATTCAGGTAAACACAGGTGAGGTGAGACACACGTTAAATGTTTGTATTTACGGTTATTGGAAGGGTAGTCCTTCATCACCGCGCCAAGAGCCTTCAGGTTGTGTCTGCAGACCTTCAGCTCAGTCACAGCTTGTTTATACGCTCCGGGGTAAGCCATAGGATCGGCAAAAGGAGGCAGCATGTAGACTTCCGTGTGGTTGTTAAAGTCTGCGTAGGCAACCTCCTCCCCATCCAGTCCATACATGTCCTCTGCATCGAAGTCTGAACACCCGTTTATATGAACGTCTCCGTGCAGGCCTGAAATGAAACACCGATCAATAAGCTGCTGCCGGCCTGCCAGAGTTTACTGAGACAAACTCACCATCGGCAGAGACACAGAGGACACAGGAGAGGAAGAGGAGCAGCTCCTTCATCTTCATCAGCAGCTCTCTGACCGTTAAACTGTGTGTGTGAGTGTGTGTGTGAGTGAACCGACTGAAAGTGTAGCAGCAGCTGAGCACTAACTCAGAGTAGCCAATCACAGAGGTCACACCCCCTGATGTCATCAGTATCCAGGCAGCTGAAGGGAAAACAATCTACAAACAGCTGGAGACAGCTCCAATCAATCATCAGTATTTATAGACTCTTCACTTTATCGTCATCAGTTTCCCCTCTGATGATTTTCAAAATAAAACAAGCTTTATTTGAAAAACTGATTCAGTTTGTTTACAAAGATTTAGAAATAAAATATGAATTTGTCTTTTAAAATGGTTTCTGTGTCTCGGCCTGATTAGAACATGTTCATCACAGCAGCCTGAAACATTCATCATGTTCACCTCTTCCAGGGTATTACCTGCACACACACACACACACACACACACACACGCACACACACACACACACACACACCTGCAGGCATCGGCACAAACACACCTGGATGATGTCACTTAAAGGTGTCAAGAAGTAGAAGAAGGTGGAGAGATCAGCAGAGCTCACGTGTACGATGATAATCTGCAAGAAAACAAAAGTGACGACACTTTTGTTCAGCAAAGCTTTGTGACACACGATCATTATGTGCTGTGCTCAGATCACAGGCTGCAGATTATTTAGATGTTGTTCCTCAGCTGGCTGCAAACTTTGCTGCTCATCGTCTACTTCAGGGCGAGCAGCTACTTCACTGTCAGCACTGTGAATGTCCTGATGCTGCTCAGCATCACACTGCACACAGATACTGTCTCCAACACTCAACACCAAACAATCATTTGCCAGCTTTTCCTGGAATACGTTCTGTGTCTTCCTGTTCTTGACAGGTGCCAGGATCGGTCAGGATTCATCTCTTGTCATCTGTGTCGATCGTGCAGGCTAATGGCGTACATCTCCCATCTGTGATCTGAGAGTCAGCTGATCGACTCAAAATGAGAGTAAACTACATCAGGTTCGTGTTGGTGGATGGAGTCAAACATCAACACGCTGATGTAAACTAAGAGGTGTAGCTGAGTGTGTGAGCTGGCTCAGGCTGTGCAGAGCTCCACCTGGGGGGCGGGTCCGGGCCGTCAGAGCTCTCTGCTTCACCACAACCACGACTCTCAGGCTCGGCTTAGTTTTTAAAATAACTTTATAGCTTCACACTCCTAAAATACGGTGACAGGGAAACTACGACTTATTGTAGCACGTGTCTGTCATCTATTCTCGTTCTTGATTGGTCACTGATGACATCATCTCTTAGAGGTTCATTTGGGTGTCGTGTCTCTGACAGCAGGGAGACGAGACGATGAAGAGGAGGGTAAAACGTTAGTTCAGCTTAAAGGTTGAAATACTGCTTTCACTCCCCGAATGCTCCGGTCTAATGTTCATGTGTTTCTGTGATGAGGAGGCTGAAAATCAGACTGACGACCTGGAGAACCACGTCCGAAGCAAGAAGCTGCGTCTGTGTGGTCTCTGGGACGGCGCCGAGGATCAGCAGTTGCACCCTAACACCTCGAAAGCCAAACCAACACAGGTGTGCTTATCCGATTCCTGAACCTCCAAGATCGGGAGTTTGTTTTCCGCTCCACAAAACAACTTAACATCGAGCTTATTATATTCAGTTTGAGAACTGAATATAATAAATTCTCTTCTGATGCATCAGCAAAAAGCCTAATGTGGCAATCTTAGTATGACCAAGGAGGGAAAGCGAGAAAACTCTTGGAGAATGAAGGAAATGCAGAGTGAGAGGAAAGTATCAGTCGATCCATCTGAACTTCAGTTCCCGACACGAACAGAAGACACAAAGCAGGAATTAGACAGACGTCTAACGATTGATCACTCATCAGGGGTGCCCGTTATCTCCAATGCTGTTTATTCTGACTATGGTGATGACACTAGAGAGCGAAAATGTCAGAAGAAAGCTTCAGTGTGCCCATGCTGCTGCCAGCGAGTGTAGTTTGCCATTCATACGACTACAGGGAGCAAAACGCACTAGAGCGGCTGTTCTCCACCAGGAACTATGGTGAGTGGGTGCATGTGGAAGACACTTTTAAAGAGTTCACACAGATTTTAAATACACATCATTGGTCAATTAAACTCCAATATGAGAGTGGCCACTTAAAACTTCATGTCTTAGATACCACAGTGTTTTTGAAGTGATAGAGGCCATAACAGAAAGCTGAGCAGAGGGTATTTTTCTTGCACAGAACAAGTTACCATCTGCCTCACACGTCCTGCAGCATAATGAAGACAGATTTTACATTTTAAAGCAAAAATAAATCCCAGTTTGTGTGACATTTTAATGAGAGCAAAATCAGAGGGGAAGGTCAAAATGCCTTCAGAGAAACTGGTGTGTCACTCACTGCATAGATGCATCTAATCCACGTAGAGGAACGGTGTGGCCAACTGCAGGCAAGATGTGCCATTCAGAGTGGGGAGTGTGGGCTTGTGCCTGGTTTCTCTCCTATTCCCACCTGTGTTTTTCCCTCTGAAGAACTGGTAACCAGTGTGAAACGTCAGGGATGCTCGATCAGACCAGTGAGAGCAAACAAACCCAGCCCTCCCAGCTTATGGTTTAATCTTTATTGGGGGAGAAAACTTTTTAAGCCCTAATTTTGACAGGGAGTAGAGAGTCTCTGAAGCCTTTTCTGGATCCTCAGAGGGGATGAAGGAGGCAGAGGAGGAAGCAGAGATCGGTCTGTGTTTCATTGTAAGATAGAGACCTGGACCATTCTGGGAATGACAGCCGACTTTGGCCCATCGGTGGAAGAGAGACGGCAGGGAGAAGGACAGTGTTTCATCGATAACAGCTCCAACACCTACAGTGTATATAATATATACATCAAAGTATATTTGCTATACTTAATGTATATAACATCATGTTCTTCTGTCCCCTTCACAGTGCAGCAGCGTGTCAGGATAGATTTCACTGCGTGTTGTATTTGTATAACTGTGCATGTGACAAATAAAGAAACTTGACTCTAATCAGCACAAACGAGGCTCTGACACGTGGATTGTTTTTATAGTTTATTTAGAAGGATCAACCCCAAAGTGTGAAAACAAGACCATCAACAGGCAAGACAGAGCTGACAATGTTACTGATGTCTGTCTGTAAATAAAGGGTGAGTGGAAACTCAAACTGGGGTTGGGAAACTTGCTGTGATCACTAACAGCTGCACGAGTTCTGGAGTCACAAATAAAACAAAAAGTATAAAAAAGGTTTAGCAAGCTCAGCATTACAGAGATAAGGGATTAGGTGGGAACACTTTCAATGCAAACCCAGGATGAGAGCACGAGGTGAGGCAGAGGAGGAGCAGGGAAGTGATGAAGGAGGACCAAAAGGATTCTTCTGTATCTTTGGGTTTGCAGCAATAAGCAGGTGGATTTTTAATGTTTCTAACTGTTTGCACAGTTTCCGTGCTGTTATTCTTTAGCTTTGGGGCCGTTTTATAATAGTTTTGTCTGAGGTGTTTGAGCTTCTATTTGTTCATCCACAATATTGTTTAGCTGATTCTATACGAGCTCGTTCCAGTTCTTTCAGTCAGTCTGGTGCTTCTCTCCCGATCATTTTCCCTGTTCCTCATAAATCCCAAGGGTGGGGCCGGTGGGTCCATGTTAGAGTCTGGACACATTTCCACCCTGAAAAGAAGAAATGACATTCAGTTACCTTTGTGTGCAGCAGAAATGCCTCCTGGGTGCACTGGAGATAGAAAAGCACATTCCTCACTTATTTTAAAGCTAATGCATTCAACAGAACCTGATTTTTATTCCATCATATTAAGCCCATCTCTCAGCATAAACATTACTGTCATGGGTTACTTTGATAACTCCAAACTACAGGGGGTCAGAGGTCGTTAGGAGCTCCCTGGCTGTGAAGAGGCAGGAGGCGAGCTGTAGGAAACCCTTTGACGGCTGATGAGGAATTGTAAATGCTTTTTGTTGGAAGACGGCAGCTGAGCTGGATGACTGAGAACCGACATACTTCCAGGTGAATGTAACGCTACGGAGAAACTACAGCGAGAGTAAACCTGCTAACTTTGGTGTTTTTTCAAGTATCGGGTAATTTTATATGTGACTTTTTCTATCAGGTGAACAAACTGTGCATGCATATTCACGCTAAAGTTAAATGCAGAGAAAGCGCAGAGTCTCTGCTTTCAGAAACAATTGGATTAGTTTCAATTGAGCGAACGGTTCAAAAGTTACAGTGATTTGAAAACACGTTGCAAAAACCTGTTGGATTGTGAGTTTCAGGCATTAAAATGCAATTCTACATCCGGACACTAGAGGGCGCAGAGCGCGATGGTGGTACCGGGCAGTGTTTTGGGGCGCAGAAGAAGAATTTCGCAGAAAGAACTTCCTGTTGTGAAGCTAACCCCAGCGCAGCATGTGTGTCGTTTGTGTTCACGGTTTAAAGAAGATTATTGTGTTTTCGTCTACTTGTTACCCAGGCTGACAGCAGCTTCACTGCCTCAGGTTAGTAAACACGCATTACAATGAATGTGCACGGCGCACCTCACAGTACAGGCTGTTGTTCGGTCATTCGCACATCAGGATGCGGGTCATTGTGTGTACACTGTGGCTTTAGGCTGCAGGTTGATGGATGCTAATGCTAGCTGACTTGGCTAATGCAGAATACAGTGGAGCCCCGACTTACGAAAAGTTCAAGTTACGAAGGCACTGAACGGCAATAGAGATTGACAGACCACGTGACTTTCGCGCATTGCATGCCGTGAACTCGTGGCAAAACAATCCAAGTACCTGCATCAAATGCAAGCATTTGCAGCACCGCAAAACGTTAATTCTTCGGTTCCAATAAATTCTTGCTTTTTCTTTCCCCCCTAAAAAGGAATGTACAAAACGAAGGAGAATAATGCCGGTCCGTACAAAGACAGACTTGATGAAAAGTCAAAGAAAAGATACGAGGAAAAAATCAAAGGAGTGAAAGGGTCAGACCCTTACGAGCACACAGAGGGAC